TTTAAATAAAAATTATTTATACTTTTTTTTTAAAAAAAAGCAAAAAAAAAATTCAAAAAAATTTAACTTAAGTCTTAAAAAAAGAAAATTTTAATTTGATATGTATTTACAATTAATTACTAGCTCCTAAAATATTATACGTAGACTTTTACCAAAAAAGAAAAGAGAATATTATTTTTAATATAGCTTACAATACATAAATTCTCCATATTTCTATGTTTTGTACAGTATCAAATTGTTTGTGTGGTTTATAATTAACATGACGTACAATGCACATTCACATATCTAAAAAGTTCATAACACATGTATATCAAAGCAACGAAAGGATAAAAGGAAAGGAAAATAGAATAAACTATAAAATTATCATCTTAATTTATTTTTCCTTCACGTGGAAGCAGTTGGAATTTGTTTAATAAAACAAAATTTATTGGCAAATATAATTATATGTATATCCTGATGCTTTTCTTCATAATTAAGCAGCCAAAAAAAACAAAAAAACCTAGAAAACAAATATAGAATTGCTTTCTCTGCTTACCAAAAGCCATCCTTTTTCCCTCTAATTATCTCATTCTTGAATATATATAAATTTTTTCTTCATAATTAAGCAGCCAAAAAAAAAAAAACCTACCAAACAAATATAGAATCGCTTTCTCTGCTTACCAAGCCATCCCTTTTCCCTCTAATTATCCCATTCTTGAATACATATATTTTTTTAAAAACTTTTCTTTTGAAATCATACTTACATATAAAACTAACACATTTTCCTGTTTCTGTTTGTAGAATTACAATATATTTTATAAAACTAGATTAAATTTTTTAACCAAAAACATGTCTTCAATTGAAAACCCTAACAGTGGTAACAGAACCTTCCATCGTTACTGGTGTTATCAATGCCATCTTATCGTCAGAGTATCGCCGGAAAATCCCTCGGAGATCATCTGTCCTCGTTGTTTCGGTCACTTCCTCTGCGAAATCAATGAAACGAACCCTGGACAAATCTTAGACTTCACTGCATTTGATCCTTCTCCAGAAGCTAGAATTCTCGAAGCTCTGACTCTAATGCTCGATCCTAATTTATTCAACACCTCTCAAGCCAATGTGGTCCCTATTTTCCGTCGTTCAGACGGAACTGAAACTCTCGTGCCACCACCTACTCGTGGACGAGAGAGAATTCGAGACTTCTGGTTAAGACCGAGAAGGATATACTCATTTCTAAATGACACGGATGAATTTACACCAGAGAGCGGAATCCTAGCACGTCCGCGCTCATGGATTGTCATCCGACCATCATTGGGTGGACCTGGACCTGACCGTAGAGAAAGACGACGGTTAGGTCCACCCGATGTAAATAACAATAGAGATTATTTCACAGGTCCTGATCTTGAAAATCTAATAGAAGAGTTAACACAAAATGATCGGCCGGGTCCTGCACCAGCACCGGAGCCGATCATTCATTCGATTCCGACCGTTGTAATTGCTGCCGCACATTTAAAAGATGATTCAGAATGTCCGGTGTGTAAAGAAAAATTTAAAATAGGCGGAGAAGCAAGAGAGTTACCATGTAAACATATATATCATTCCGATTGTATTGTTCCTTGGTTAAGGTTACATAATTCCTGCCCGGTTTGTCGGAATCCGGTGCCGGTTACTTCAGAAGCTCAGGTGGATAGTTCTGATGATTGTGTTGAAGAAGAAGTAAGGATGAACAGACAACGACGTTGCTTCAGACTTAGACAAATGGCAGCTTCTCTATGGCCATTTAGGTCGAGGTATCGTGCTATGCGTAATCATGGTGAGATATAATTCAACCCAATAATAATATCAATACGAAACCAAAATGTTATGAGATTTAGAAAATAAATTATTGTGTGTACCTACAGATGAACCATCGGTGCAGTCGTCATGTAATATTCTTTAGCGGATAAAGAGAGCCTCCGATCAAACTACAAATTAAAGAACAGGTGGGGTGACGCGAAGAAGAAATTATAAGAAAAAATGCAAAAATTTAGAAAAAGAGACAGATCAATCATGTTGTAATATAGAACTTTGTGTCTCGTTGTAATAATTAGTTGAACCTATAAATTTCAATTTTTTATGAACAAATTTCATACTCAATCCAAATTGTTTATATACGGAAATTTAACTATGGATTTCGAAGAAAAGGTAGTATATCTGTAAAAGTACATTTTAAAACAAACTAATTATAAAACCCTTAGTCAACAAACTATAGATAGTCATTTAGTTGGTTTGAGGTGGTTATTTATACGGATAATTCGGGATCGATCTCCACTCAATGCCTCTAAATCGAGCTTGTCACATAAGGTTTGCCTAGTGTGGCTTATATCTCATATGTGGTTTTCAGACTATTACACTAGTTAAAAAAATCTATAGATACCGCATATATATACAAGCTACAAGCTACTATATAACATCTCTTCTTCGTTTTCACAAGCTACTATATATTATTACAAATATTTTTCACTTTATTTGAATTTTTGAAGTTTTAAAGTTAAATTTAATAATGAAATGGAAAATGAAAATTATTACATCTTACCATTTATCCTTAATAACAAAATATAAATTAATGATTGTTAAAAGACATACCAGAATTTTGTAATATAAGCAATGGTCTTAATGAGTCATTCAACATGAGCAAACTACACAACTATTTAATTGTGAATGAGGAGGAGGAGGAAGAGAAGGAGAAAAATATTAAGAGGTGTAGAATTTTCGTAGTTTTTATAATGAGAGGAAATCTCTCTATTTATAGACAACAAAGAATAGTGTAAAAAATGGTTATTGTGCTTCATCAGAAATGTTTCAACTATTTGAAAAAGTTCAATCCTTTGAAAAGCTCACAACCATTCATAAAAGTCGCAACTCTTTATAAAAAACATAACTTTTTATAAAAGTCATAACTTTTCACGAAATGGGAAGACTAGTTTTGATAATAAAATAAATTAATAGGAAATCCTAATTTCTGGTGGCGCCACGTAGGTGGGCTTAAGGTTTTCTTTTATATATATACTAGATACATGCGCCCGTGCTAGCACAGCCCAATATCTCTTTTTTTGTTTCATTTTATGTGACACAGATAAAATTTAGAGAGTTGATTAAACTATAATATGATTTTAAATACTTTAAGTTATTAATTATTGTAATTTATAGTATCTTATGTAATTTTAAATGATATATGTTATTTTCCTTGTCTCAATATATATGACATAAATAGGATTTCAAGAGTCAATATGTTGTTAATTATTGCGTAGAATCACACACGTGAAACAGACATATTGGTTGTCTCTTGTGTTGTTATTATGAAATAACTAAAATATGAATAAGAAATATATTTGGGTATACAAAATGATTATTATGTCAATTTAATTTAATTCAAATTTAACCAAATCATCACAGTCCTTCTTCATTTGGTCCAACTGCATAGCACTTGTTCTTCACCATGTTCGATCACTTCCATCGTCTTCCAGTCTTCTTCTTCCTCCTTTCACTCTCATTCTCCCAATCCATCCATGAAAACGAAGAATCAGACACACCCATTCACCGTTTTCAACAATATCTCAGAATCAACACTGCCCATCCTAACCCAAACTACACTGCCGCCATTAACTACCTCACTAACTTCGCCAACTCCATCCCTAATCTCCACTCCAAAATCATTCACCTTACCCCTACTTCGCCTCTCCTCCTATTAACCTGGCCAGGTTCAAACCCTTCACTCCCCTCCATTCTTTTCAATTCCCATCTTGATTCTGTCCCTGCTGAACCACATAAATGGACCCACCCGCCGTTTTCCGCTCACAAGACTTCCGATGGAAGAATATTTGCACGGGGAGCGCAGGATGATAAGTGTATTGGTATGCAGTATTTGGAAGCAATCAAAGCGATTCAAATGAGTGATTCAAAATTTGTGCCACTGAGAAATGTTCATATTCTGTATGTGCCTGAAGAGGAGGTTGGTGGGTTTGATGGGATGGGGAAGTTTGTGGAGTCGAAAGAATTTGGAGAGTTGAATCTTGGGTTTGTGATGGATGAAGGACAGGCCTCGCCTAATGATGAGTTTAGGGTTTTTTATGCTGATAGGACTCCTTGGCATACGGTGATTAAGGCTGTTGGAATGCCTGGACATGGGTCTAAATTGTATGATAATTCTGCTATGGAGAATTTGATGAAGAGTATGGAGGTTATTACTAAGTTTAGGGAGTCTATGTTTGATATGGTCAAGGCTGGAGTGGCTGCTAATTCTGAGGTCATCTCAGTGAACCCGGTGTTTCTTAATGCTGGAACTCCTTCCCCAACTGTGAGTTGTTTGAGTTTTCCATTGAGCTAGCTCATTTTAGTTCTAGTTGTTTTCCAGCAGTAGTTGATTGTATTAGGAATTTTAAATTTAGTCATCCGGATTCTCTTTCGTATTCAACTTGATAAATATGTGATGCCAATGATACTTTCTTAAATGATTAGTCTTTTAAATTTTCTTTAGCTTAATAGTTATTGTTGTATTGTTGTTTGTAAAGTATATTGAACTATGATCAAAAGTAACTGTAATGTATTTGTAAAAATGAAATGGAAATACTGTAGTCTCTAAAGAAGAAGGAATTGGACTCAAAATGGAACTCTTTATTGATTCAACTGAAAGGTTACAATTGATTAACAAAAGAACTACTCCATAACCATGAGCTCCAGTGACCTGTAATGGTAGAATTAAGGTAAGAAGAAGAAGATAAGAAAGAAGAGAATAGACTAGGAAGAAGAAGAAAAGGTAGATTGAGAGAAAATATGAATTCTCAATTGATTCTTCAATCACTCCCTTTACATTTTCCCTCTGTTTATATTAATAAGAGAGTGATGATGTGTCACCCCTGCTCATGTGACTTTCAATCAACTTAGATGTCTCTTAATCAATTCAAATCATGACAGAATTGGGAATAACTTCTAAGGTTAGGTAACGAAATATGAACCTGTTCCTGTTAAGAACTTTTCAATGGTTGTGCTTATCATTGTTTCCTTGCATAGGGATTTGTGATGAACATGCAACCCTCTGAGGCTGAGGCGGGATTTGATATTAGGATGCCGCCAACAGCTGACCCCGAACTTATGAGGAAGATAATCGAAGAGCAATGGGCACCAGCTTGGAGGAACATGACATATAAGGTGAATAGTTGCTTTTCTCTATGCTTATCGATGTTATTTTGCAGATCTTAGCTTATCTTCCCACTATTACTGTGTGATTTTTTTTAAAAAAGAATTCATATAGAAATATCTTGCTAACCTTGCTTGTAATGCATAGTTTGCATATCTGAGATTTGGAAGGTATATCAATTGTTTGTAGTCACAGTTCAAATGCCTCTAGATTAAATGATGATGCACTTACTAGCTTTTGGAACTGTTCAGAGCATTTTGAGGTATATTATCGGTATACTGAAATATTTGCATCTCTGTTTAAAGTAATTTGGTGATATCAGCAAATAGGTTTCTTGTGTAGAATTCACTATCCTCTGACTTGTCGATTTAAAAAGAAAAGGTTACAGGTAAGCCAAAAATCACTTGTTGAAATCGTAAGCCTCCTAGGCCTTACCCATTTTGATTTGCTTATACTGAAGGTCATTGTGACATTGAGTAATCATCTCTATATAAAAAACACAGTCACTAGGAGCTGGCCATGCTAAATTTGCCATCTATGCCACAAGATCTGATCGAATCTGCCACTCTCCCCTCTATTGAAGTTCTGTGTGCTGTAAGAAGAGCTTATGCTGAACTGTGGGCTTGGTAGGCCTGGGAAGTCCTTGGATAGGCTGGTAGCTGATGTTGACCGAAGAGTATCTTTCTGGTTGTCTAGTCAGCTTGAGCTCCTGTTTCTGAGCAAAATGGACCCGCTTTGCACCATGGGTTTCTACTTTCCCAATATGTTGGGGAAGTGGTGCATTATTTCATTAAAATCCATATCAATTTGTTCCTGTATGAATGGTGTGATTATTATCGTAGGAGGTGAAATAAAAAAGTCATGCATCAAGAAGCCAAGATGTGTTGATTCAACTGAAGGAACTATCAGCCAGTGTGGTGAATCTTCCAGTTTTATCTGTCTGAGTTGGGAGAACCATGGGTTACAGTCTTTTCCCCAGGATCTTGCCCAACTTCAAGTTCTTGAACCGAGTGAAATTGGGTCCTAAAGAATTAAAGTTTCAAGGACTATTGGATCCCACTATCTGTACATTACCACCTGTACCTGGGTGCGAGCTTGTGCTGGAAATCACCTATCGGAGTAGGAATCAAGCATTCATCCACCCTTTGCTGCAAACCTTTTGTTGGTCTGAATTAACAATAGTTTCGACCTCGCTAGCCCGGCAAGCGAATTCATAACAAAGATCAATCCAACCTTGGTGACCTGTCTGAAACCCTGCATCTGACCAGAAAAGCCATCAACTCCACAATTCTGCACCTTGAATGCACTGACCGAAATAATGAGGCAGTACTTTGGCATTAACTTGAACTCAGTAGACAAGTCTGTACCTGTCCTGACTTGATCATCAGACGTGCCTCTTTTAATAGGTTTCTTTGTCTTTTTTCTTCATAATAGCTGGTGGTGAGACTTGATCCAATCCACCATTTCCCATCCAGTCTTTCTTTTTTCTTTTTTAGAAAGGTAACATTTACTTCTATATATCCACAGGTATACTGCATCAAAGTGTAGTTCCCCTCTAAAAATTTATACTTACATCAGCCCTAATATCATCCAGTCTTTATCCCACCCAGTGTTCCCCTCCCTGCAGCTATTCCCATCCACCATTTCCATCATCTCTTTAGCATACACACCCCACTCCCTCCGCCTCTCTCTCTTTCTCTCACCCTCTCCAATTCTTCTTCTTTCTCTAGTTTCAAATATTCCAGCAAAGCTCCATTCTTTCCCTGAAAAAAATATGAACTGATATTTTTCCGGTAAAAATTGTTGTTATTTCTTGTAATTGTGATAATGATTACTAGTGGGAAGAAGATGAAGGCAATGGGTAGCAAGTTTTGATGCTATTAGAATGAAAGGGGATGAGTAATTGAGTATTTAGTTTGGATAGACAGCAATTGTGTACTGCCAACGCTGGCGAAAGGGGTAAAGACTAGATGGAGAAGAAGACAAGGGTGGGATGGTAAATAGATGTTCAGCCAGTGTTTCCGCACATGTATAGAGCATACTCTCCAGTGAGGTATGACTTGGAAGAGTAATAAAAAGATGTATGTCCAGTGAAACCGATTGGGCTGCGTTGATACAATAATCAGATGGAGTGATAGATCAGTTACTAAGTGTGGTAAAGAGGTGGTTGGATAGCACTAATCAAGTGAAGCTTGATGTCACTCACCTGTTTTCAGTCTGAACTTGAGCAGAAGTGAGAAGCTTTTGTCTCATAGATGTTCCTATTTTATTGTACCTGTTGTATTAACTCCGTTTTATTGGAGCCTTCTGCGACCAGTTCACCAAATTGTGCACCACTTGCACTTTGCTACAAAATACTTTCTTGATTTTAGAGACTACTTCGTCACTTGTACAAAGGAGGTTCTATATGCTGAAGTTTCACTTTCCTGTGACCTAACATCTCCTAAATGTGGCTATGTCTGCATAATTCTGGAGCAATAACAGGGAGAAAAAGAAAGAGGTGATATGATACCTATATTTTAATCTGAATTGACATGAATCTGACGATGAACTAGATTTTGAAGGCAGAATAGGGAAGCTTGCAGTTGGAGAAGAAATTTCTTCGCCTTGAATTTCGTCAATTTGTTTGCAATGTCCTATCAGCAGAGTTTGAGTATGATCAATTTTGTCCTACTCCCGTCTACTACAGTGTTTCTATTGAATTCTCAAAATCTGTTGTAGTCTGGGATGATGTAATATTCATATATTTGTTCCCATTTGTTCCATTTCCGAGGTAGATCTCCCTGGTTCTTTGGATGTCTTGGTCAATACTTTTGCAGATCCAAAAATCTGTTGCTTTTGATGAAGATTTCCTTTCTTTCGATCCATTCGAAGCACACGGATGGTTCTTCCTTTTTCTTAATGATCTCATATGATTTTCCCCTAGCTAACAAGGACTTTCTTTCCATCTTAAATGGATTTTACACTAGTTTTCAACCGATGACACTCCAAAGTCATAGTAATTGCTATTATATGATCAATTTGAAACTTGGGTTCAACCAATATGAACCTAAAGATGATGGTAAAGTGTGGCTGCTGTGGAGAGACAACATTAAGAAGAGAGTTTTGAAAAGAGGAAGGATTGGAGAAGTCGATAAGAATGTTGGCTTGGAATTCACAAATTAGGATTAATTTGGCTGCAAATCTAGAAAGAAATAAGAGCTTAAATTTTAATCCAGTGGTCATTTTCTTGTATTTCTGAAGCTGCTCGATGACTGAAAATTCTCTTCTTAAAGTGGTCCATAGTTTTCTATTGTCACAATATTGGGACAACTCTGTTTATCAATCTGTCAATCAATCAGCTACGCCTCAAGTAATCTTTCTATTCATCAGTCTGTCAATCAATCAGCTATGCCTCAATATGAGTCCTCTGTAATCATTCTGCTGGTCAATTCTGTGTATTAAAAACAAACTTTATTTAGGGTGGCAACTCTAAATAGGGCATATATAAGTTAATTTGGTGTAGAGACGTCATTTCTTATGTAAGTAATGGCTGCCTTCATTGTTAGGTAGATGCTTTTTCCCATTCCCACTCGTATGTTTAAAATCACCAAATTTAAAGTAGTTTACATTTGGGTTCAATATGTTATTTGTTTTACTAAACACAAAAAGGGGACAAGGTGTACTTTTGGTCTTCTGATTCTCAGCCTTTTTGTGATGTGGCAGATAACCGAGAAAGGATTTCTAAGGGACATCATGGGCCGTCCTCTGATGACACTTGCTTCCGATTCCAATCCTTGGTGGTCTGTGTTCAATGAAGCTGTTACTAGAGCTGGTGGAAAACTCTCCAAACCTGAAATATTAGCTTCGACTACTGATGCTCGATTCATGAGACGGCTGGGAATTCCTACCTTTGGTTTCTCCCCAATGAAGAATACCCCCATCTTACTTCATGACCACAATGAGGTTTGTCTCTGCTTCTATCTATGACAAATCAGTAATCACTTGTTTCTCTGATGCCAATCGTTTTGTTCACCTGGCAGAACCTCAAGGATACTGTTTATTTGGAGGGGATTAAGGTGTATGAATGCATTATAAAGTCATTAAGTTCCTTTGAGGGATCTATGAACACTAATGCTATGGGTTTCTGAACAAAGAAGCATCTGAAAACTTGGTATGATATTCATCTCTTTTGAGTTTTCCTTAATTTCAAGGTATGCAAGTTTTAAATCTGCACATGCTATAAACATTAGTCCAGGTCCTTTAGGCACATATCTAAATTTGTTAAATTCTACTGTTACCTTTGTAAAACAAAATAAAATTTGTAACTTCTCATTGAGTATCTTTTTAATTGTCTAAGTGGAATTGAGTGTTTCTCTTTACAAAACCTGTGGCATCATTGGAAAAAGTACTGGAGGATTTCTCCTATCAGCTGGCTGGTGTTCCCCTTTCATGCTAAGATTACTTGGGTGAACTTGCAGTTTCATGCATCGCTTGGTTGATTGATTGTGTCTCATGACTAGAATCTCAGCTGCCCTGCCCGACACGAAAACAGAAATAAATTGTTTATCAGATGACCTTTCCTGCCAATACCTAGTTGATTGAGTCCAATAAAGAATATTCAAATTAGTGTAAGCATCATATAATGCAAACAGATGATGTTACAAATGGAGTGAACTATTTTTATTTCCTTCAATTCATTGTAATTTTGCTGATTCAAAAAGTTTGTCTGCTTTGATGTCTGGATGAGTTCTCTATCATTAGTTTCTTAGACGTTCTAGCATTTGCTAGTAGATTTAGCATCACTTACAAATCTACTCCTTGAAAGTCAATTGCAAGTGACATGAATGCAACCCCTGGAAAAAAAGAAGGAAGAAGTGCCTGACTGCTGATAATTTGGACTACTCCAGATAAAAAAGTTACTGCAAAGAATAACTATAGCATAGGTGCCAAGGGGAGATTATCACGTTTGTCTGTTTAGGAAGTTTGGGAATTTCAGGTTTCATGACAACTTTTTCCAGCACATGAACATTAACCAACAGTTAATGATAACAAGTTTCTTTCCATTTGATATAAATCCTTTCAGCACATGAGTTCTTTTTTTTTTTGATAAAAGTTAAAGGTGTATTCTTCAGCATTAAAGGGTATGCTGGCTACCTCCAAAAAGTTACAAGCTAAATCCATAAGAACATAGATCCTAGGGAATCTACCAACAACATGTTAATGCAATTTTCTTTAACTTTCTGAATAGTGTTAGTAATATTCTCATGACACCTAAGGTTTCTTTCTCTCCAAATAACCCACCAGACACAAGTAGGTACTATAGACCACCATCTTTTTTGGGTCTTGCTCCCCCTCCTCTCCTCCTCATTCAGTACATGAATGTTAACTAACAGTTATACTGTTAAAATTTCACGATCTGAATGTGGAAGCAGAGAAGATTCGTCAAATAGCCCCTATAATATTTATGATAATCCTCATCGACGGCTACCTTCTTGCAAATGTATAATGTGAAACAGAAGTCCTTGATTGTGGTTGTGAATTCTGAGCTCTTAGGTTCAAAACTCAGCGGAGACAAAAATCTTTCCTAGTCTTGGTGGACAGAGTTATCTAGTGCTTGTTGCTGGTGGGAAGTGGCAGGTATCCCATAGAATTAGTCGAAGTGCGTGAAAGCTGGCCGGGACATAATGGTCGTCAACAAATAATAAAAATTGAATTGATAGATTTAATGCCTTTCAACTGTAACAGGTCATTGGTCTTGAGCTTTTGATGAAGCAAAGGCCACACAACTGCCTATATTTACTGGAACCTGAGCATTTCAAATAAGATGGCCCAAAATTAGAATTCCTCAAGGGTTGTAGAAAGAATCAGATATGAAACACTGGATTTGAATGTTAAAATCTTAGACAAGTCTTAAGATTCTTTCTCTCTTTTTGTGTTTTTAAGGAATCCTCCAAAACTAATATCTTTTCTGATTTCTAAATGAAACAAAATGATATACATTCTTATTTTCTGCTAACCAATTCATATGATGGTTTGGCTGCTGCATCTGAGATGTTAAGCAGTAGGATTAACTTCTTTTTCTTCAGTGCAACTCCTGCCCATCAGGCTATGAGAAAGAAACTATACAAACATACCCTAATGCAAGGATCTAACATAGATGATTCAAGCACAACACAATTTTATTTGGGTCTGAAGAGTTAGCAACATGGCTTACTTGATCAATTTGGGATTTACCAAATGAACTTTGTGGGTTTAAACACTCATCAAAATATTCTTCATGTCATTTTTGTCAAAAAAGATGTATGGATCTTTTTTGACAAAAATTAACGTGTACTCACTCAGTGCTTTCTGTTTTTGGAAGGGATTCCCGTTACTTTCCATCTTTTGCTAACAATTACCAGTGAGTTGCCTGTTACTGTCTCCTAAGTTGCTTTACAAATATGATCCCGAAATAGTGATTTCCATATCAGTAGAACCAGTAGCTTGTTTTTTCCTGAAGTTTTAGCCCTCCACCCCTTTGTTTACTTTGAGTGTACTGGAGTTTATGCCTGTTCATACTGTGGACTTGAATGAACATGTCAATGCTAGTTTTCTGATGTATGAACATCTCATAACTGCAGATTTGATCATTGATTCTCATAGTCATGTTTCCAAGAAACTCTACGTGTTGACATAGAATTAATCCAATCTCTGATATCATGTTTTTTTTTTTAAAGTTTTGCAGGGGATCTCTCTTTTGGAAAAGATGATTTGTGCACACAATATGGTTTATAACATCATTTACAAAAATAACAAGATCATCTACATGGGAAAAAGTGTTTTACCCTTTAAACTCATGTAAATGTAAGTGTACCACTTGCAATAACTTATGTTGGCAAAGCATGCAAGACTATGCTTCTTTGGGAGCTTCTATCAATTATCCTCTGATGTAAAAGCCCATATGAATTTTAGTCAGTCAATGTTTCCACCTATGTCAAATAATAAAATAAAAAGAGCAGCTCGGTGCACAACGGTCTATTGTACACAACCTTACCCTGCATTGTTCCTGTAGCTCGAACCAATGACCTCTTGAGTATACATGTGATATTGATATCCTGTTTTACTTTGCAAGTCTATCTGTCTAGATGTACATGTGTGTATATTATTTAGTGGATAATAAATGTAATGTCCAATTTGTGATTGGAATTTGGTTGCTTCCAGGATGCTGCTACCTTGATGGTTGTTGCCTCATTTTCATACTACACACATCAAGATTCAGAGCCTCTATATGATTTTTTTGCCCATAACCTAATCTCCAAATCTCATCACCAAATATTTCAAAAAAAATTGGCTATTTGACTTGAGTTGATTTGTCTCATCTTATTGGCTGGCAAACCTTTCCATCTATTGATTTAATATGTTGGTTCACATTATTGCATTTTGTCTTTTTTCCAATTTAATATGCCATTGGTACGGAACGTCCTTTACCCATAGTACTAGTACCTATTATTTCAAAGTACCCTACACATGCTCATTTTTGAACTTGTTTTTGAAGATTGGATAGGAATCTTTCATGCTCATTAATGTTACATGTCTGTAGTTGCATGATTGAGATTCCTTCAATCTTAATAAAAACTTTTGGGAAGAGCATTTTACTCCTTTAGTAGACTCTACCCTAGTATAGATCTGAATTAATGGGCTTGAAATTTCAAATATCAAATGATTCAACTTTTAAAAAAAATGTACCATCGAAGATGTAGTGAAAATTTGTTGAGATTTCTCCATCCTTAGTTAAGTTTGATCTTTGGAATGGTACCCCCTTGGTGGGCTTACCACAATGCAAATCTGATTAATTGGACAAAACAAACTTTGGATATCAGATGATTAAATTTACTACTACATCACAACCCTTGTCGGTGAACTGATAGTTTCAATTGTAAACATTCTAATGGTGAATGTTATATCCATCCCTATATATAACTAAGAGAAAAAACATAAAGTCATCTCTAAAGTTGTTCCGTATTTGCATAAAGACACTTTAACTTTGAAAGTGTCCTATCACCCCATAGAACTATTTATATCTTTGTAAATGGAGAGTTTGACTCAGTTTCTCGTTTGGGTTGTTATCACGCAAATGGGGCGCGTGACCCAATCTTTTCACTGCCATAACCAGCTATAAAGTGTCAGCTGTCATTATATTTCTTTAATATTAATTATTTAATTAATTTACATCACTTTCCCCATTATCTTCTTCATCAAAATTCAAAAATCCAATTACTTTTTCTTCATCTTCTTCAACTTAGAAGATCCATTTACTTCATCCATTTTTATCACTTTTTTTTCTTGTTCTCTTGCTTTTCTTTGTTTCTTTTTCTTCTTTTATCGTTTTTTTCAAAAAAAAAAGTCAATTATTTAGAGAATACTATGAAACTCCATCTTTTTTTGGTCTCATTACCTTGCTTTAGTAACTTGAGAGTTGAATTGATTTTATTTAGTGATGTTTTGATGGCGAAAATAGTGTTGTAACATGGAAGCATCATGGAGGCTACATTGAAGGTGACTATGACTGCTACTTTTGGAGGATTTACAACAAAGAACAAAGATTTGAGTAATGAAGATTTATGAAGAAAGAGGAAAAAAATGAAAATAAAGTTAATAAAAATAAAAAATAATAAAATGAAAATGAAACTAAAAATTAAAAATTAAAAAAACTTAATACGTGTCAAACAACTATTTGTGCGTGATTGCACCTCTTTTCTTGCGATTGAGGTTGGGTAAAAAATTTGATATTTATAACACTCTTAAATTGTACAGTAGGGAAATAAGATATCTACAAAGTTAAGGTGTCTTTTTTAAAATTCGAAACAACTTCAGTGATAACTTTATGTCTTTTCTCTATAACTAATCATGTCCCATCCTTCCATATGAGTACTAAACTAATCCCATGGGACCAAAAATGCAATGGAACACAACTCATTTTTGAAATAGAAGATTAATTACCTTATATTGTAACTTCTAGGAAATAGAGAAGCAATATTTGTGAATAGATGAAATTAGATACACCGTACAAGGAACAATATTCTTGCTTTGGTTGGTGTAACAATATCTTTAAATGCTAGACAAGTGGGGTGAACAATCAAATATCAAAGTAATAATTCAAAGTATGGTACCTCTAAATTATTATAACTCTCACTATGAGGTCACTACTTAATTTTAAATAATTTAATTCCCTTTCATACATTAGTTTTCCTCTTAATATAATGATCAAGGAGGAATTAAAGTTGTTATAATATTGAAGCAAACTATACATTATCCTTTTTTTTTTTAACACTTGATACTAAACTGATTTGATCAATTACAAGATTTATTTTTGTCCGTTTGTTGATTGTGTTATGTTTTTCAAGTTATCTTGAACTTCCCTATGCACCACATTTGATTGTCACACTCCTAATAACATGGTGGGTTGAACTGGTGCTAGTTTGATGTCAATCTTTAGGAGTAATTCATAAAATTGGTTAAATCTAAAATAATAACATACTCTTTATTTAATATGATCTCACTATACATATCGATATACATATAGATTCACCGACTACATTTCAGCCATCCAGAGATCCTGATCTATTTAAAAATTGCTAGAATTGATATATTTACATATCATGTTTCTGCAGGCGTAAGAGTTTTTTCCTTTATGTTCGGTGGAAATCACATCGAAAGGAAGAACTCACTCTTGGTGATAAAGGTTTCTTGATTCGTAATCAGGAATATAGGTCAAAAAAAGAGTTATCCTCAACTTTCGTTTTAATTCCTTCTACAATTCGATCTTCTATCACCAAAGAAAAGGCCATTATTATCTTATTTACTTTGATTCCGATAAACTAACTACTTTCTGCTACAAACACAAAAAAAATAATTGAACTTAGTGCTCTACTTGATTTTGCTTGACTTTTGATTCAAAGGAAAAAAGGCAAGGTTGAGGACTGATAAACTTCTAAAGTGGAATTAAAGCTCTATCAGAAAGGATATATAATATTTGAGTAAACCTCACATCGAAAAAGAAGGAAAGAGTGAAGTTTTATATATAAGACAAAGTACAACTTAATACATCAAAATCATATTGATTTTAAGCAAAACTTAATGCACATATTAACTTAGACTTATGATGAGATTAATTATTTCTAACTCATTAGCCAAACGACCCTCATATGTACTTGCTTTATCTTTTTAGTAATATCATTTGATTAATCAGATATAACGTTGTTTCAAGATTTTTTTTTTCTGTTTACTTTAATAAAAGGAAATTATTTAATACATCGATTGGTTGATGAATATGTTCAATCACTTGAACAAATTTCACACGATAAATTTTATTTTATTTGTGTATCAAGTAGTTATTTTGTTCGAAAAATACTCTACACTAAATTCAAATTTTGGTTTAGATTTTATGGAAGTTGCTTAGAAATTGATATTATGATGGAATATGTCAAATATTTTGGTGTAGAATTACTGTTTCAAAAGGGCAATTTGCCAACTGTAAAAATTATGTTCATATTTTTTATTAATCTTTTTGACGGTCACCTCTAAATTAAATTGTCAAATAGTGTAGTTAAACCAACCACTTCATAAAATGGTTAAACATAATTTCTATACATTAATGCATATTATTTTTAAAATAATATTGTACTTTAGTTTCTCCAAAGATCCCTAAATTAAGGTGGTGTTAGTGTAAACTCACTTTTTTTTCCTCTTAAACAATTTTTTCTTTGTTCTGTTAAGCACTGAGACATGCAAGTGGAATGTTAATTAACTAATTAGTCAATAATCTTTTGTACAGATTTCTTGTCAAATGACGTAGTTAGCTAGCTAGTTGATCCAAGATAAACATAAACTAATTATAAACTAATTACCATTAATAGTTATGAAGCTCAATTTAAGTTTATATTTTATAGGGTCAACAAGTTGACAAAAATTTAGACTCAATTAGGTCAAACATCAATCAATTGAACTCGCGTACGTTGCTCGGTTAACAAGCGAGTCATTTGGTTACTGATTAGAGATATATGTACGTATTAAATTCAGAATAAGTTATGCGGAATTCAATTATTCATGTGTTCTTATATTCTCATATATAAGCTAATACATAAACTGACTTATAAAGTATGCATGTTTTATTTATGCAGAATTGTAAAATGATAACCAAACGTTGAACTTGATCATGTATTGAATTTTATACAAATTATCTAAAAGAACTACGAAACATGGTATTAATTATGCTAAGTTGTAATATATAAATAACACACTTTTTAAATCAATGTCACGATCCAAATCGTCGTGATTAGCATCCACAGGCCACACTAACTCTTCGGTGGGAGAACCAATACTACCATCCAAATAAGCAAAAAATCTAAAAACTAAGGCATTCATCATAGGAAAACAGAATAAATATCAAATTGAAGTTCTCATAAATTTAAACAATTGATCTAACTACTAACAATGCGGAAGATAAAATTAGAATCAGAAAGTCAATGTACTAAAACATTTAAGAAGGGTTCATGTCTAAACAAGAAATACTAATGGACTAATCCACTAATCTAAAGCGAAGTCTATATCTGGAAATGGTGGACACAGACGAAAGAGAATCACATGGCAGCCTGAAAGATGTGCTCACCCTTAAATTCGATGTGACAATCTTTAATTTCCTAAGCGAGGACTGTCAATAGCAGCATGAAGATGCATGTACTCAACAAAAATAAGAGCAAGTGCAGAATCAGTACACAACCACAATGTACTGGTAGGATCGCGGCTATCCCAATAGTGCAATATAAACAAGTTAACAAAATTATAAACACATGCATGTATATCAACGTATACAACATTATCAACATGACAACTCAACAATATATTTCACATGCTTATCACATCATTGGTCCTCCCACGGAACCCAAATCCAAAGAGTTAGCTTGCCGAAACGTGACAATTCGATTCCTATTCACACACCACAATCACAAGTATATCATCAAGATCATACATTTACATTATGATTTTATGACTAGATCATTTATCTATCTCATTTACAACAAGTGTGATCAATATTGCAACATTCATACACATACAAGTATAAAAATGAAGCCAGAACATGCATACATCACACAATCATTGAATCACAACCATCACATACCTCGAAACAAGCTTGAAACCCTAAGAAACTTGATTCTTCCCT